CTTTTCAGTGCTTTTGTGGCAACCTCAGGATGTTCTGCCTTGACTTTAACCCAGAATGTATGGCGATTTGGAGTTGTCTCAAACATACTTTTAAGGCCACCGTCATTTGTGACCTCAAGCAGTTGATCCTCTTCTAGCATGGACAAAGTCGACTCACCTGGCTTGTTCACAAATGGGTCACGGAACCATTCCTTCTCAGTTTGGGGGTCTTTTGTGATTGGGAGGTAATGCTTAAAGTCTTTTGAAAAATGAAATAGGTGATCATGAACCAGCTGTGAGAAAGAAGGCCCTGGCTCAGTCTCTTTCAGAATTTCTGGTAATGTTTGAAACGTGTAAAAAATCCCAATGTTCACTCATTGCCCCATAATTCCAGTTTGGCTTTGAATGCGGCCGCTGTATCTGCCGACTTGAACATAGTTGTTCTTCCCTGAAGTGACAGATTGAGTTTGTTGAGCAGGTTGAATAAGTCACACAAGTAAGCAAGTTTTGAGACCCATTCTGTGTCACTGAAATGTGTTGCCAGTGGTGACTGTTTTTTTAAGAGAAATCTGTGAAGTGGCTCTTATAACTAAAAAATTCTGGCCAATGATCTATCTTTTTTTTTTTTTCCAATGATCTATCTTTAAAAAGCCATCTCATACCGTGAGAATCCTGAAACACCAATTCAAAAGAACATATGCATCCCAATGTTCACAGCAGCACAATTTATAATAGCCAATTGCTAAATGCCAATCAGTAAATGGGTGGATAAAAAACCAGTGATACATTTACACAATGGATTACTATGCAGCAGAAAGAAAGAAGGAACTCTTACCCTTTGCAACGGCACGGATGGAACTGGAGGTTATTATGCTAAGTGAAATAAGCCAGGTGGTGAAAGACAAATACCACATTGATCTCACCTGTAAGTTTCCACGAGTCAACAAAACAAGCAAGCAAAATAGAACCAGAGATATTGAAATTAAGAACAAACTGAGAGTAACCAGAGGGGAGGGAGGAGGGAAATAATGGGGGAAAGAAAGGGAAAGGGTCAATGAACATGTATAAAGGACCTGTGAACAAAGACAACAAGCAGGTGAGGATTGATGCGGGAGGCAGGGGGGAGTAATAGGGGGAAAATGGGGACAACTGTAACTGAACAACAAGAAAAAAAGAAAAAACTAGAGCACAAGGTCATGGTTAGTTTTGAGAACAAGAATGAAAAGATAAAGCTTAGCATTAAGAAAAATAGAAAGCAATTTCAATAAAAGTAAACACCACCCCCACAAACTTTGTTGGAAATTAAAAAAAAAAGAAAGCCATCTCGCTTCTGTGTATAAGAGAAGACGTGCTCTGCATCGATCTCCTTACAGAGCTATGTGAACAGATGTGAGTTTAAGGCATGTACTTTAATGTGGTTGATAATTTTAATCATATCCTGCAAAATGTTGTTAAGTTCAGGTGACATTTTTCAGCTAGCCAGCATTTCTCTATGGATGACATGGTGGTAGACTCACATTCAGAAACAAAGTCTTTGACCTGAGCAGTGAAACCAGAAAGCTGTCAGTCACGGCAGCAGCTTCATCTGTGCATATACTGACACAAAATGACCAATTCAGTTTTCGTGATATATAATCAATCAAAGACTTGAATAGTTCTGAAGCTGTGGTGTTGGTTGGCAACAAAAGTGCACATAACACATGCTTATGCACATCCCTCTGAAAAATATATCACACAAAAGAGAGCAAGTCTTTTGATGTTGTTGTCAACATTGATGGTCAGCCTGGATTGATGAGTGACTGACTCATGGTTGACAAGTCAACCATGGTGACTCATTAATCCTCTCTAACAATTGTGCCTCAGTATCCTCTGCTATTTGGTCAATTTGTCTAACTATGGTGCTAACTAAAAGGAACACATGCCACCTTTTGAATTGTAGCCTCTCCTAAAAGTTCATGACAAATGTCCTTAGCAGCAGACAAGGTCAACTCTTTACCAATAGTAAAGGACTTCTTCAGTAAATAGCTTCAGCAATGCCACTATTTAGCCACTAAGAATGATGGTGTCAGTGCAGACATATTTGATGAAGTGGTGGCCTTCAATAATTGCTTCTGTTCTTTATGTTCATGTTTTTATTTTTGAAAAACTCCAAAGGCTTGTTTTTTAATGCAGGGTGCTTGGTCTCCCTTTGGCAAAGCAGTTTTGAAGGTTTCATGGCTTTGTTGGATAGCCAGTTGCCACATATTATACAAAGTGGGCTTGGAGAATGTGAATCACCTGTTGCAATGTAGGACTCTTGGTATTTCAAGTGTAGCTTTATTTTTGTTGACAGTCTTAGAGTTTTCTGCTTTCTTATCATTGAGACTTTCTGCCCTTTTCCCTGAAATCTACATGTTCTTTAACATCTCTGAGATGTTGTTCATGTTCTTCCCTCCTCACAGGATTTCCCTTGGAAAACTATTACTCATTATTCAAGGTTCAAATTAGAGAGGCACTTTTAGAAAAACCTTTTCTGAACTTCTAGGGGATTCTTCATGTTTTCACAGCTCCCTGTATTTACCTTTTCCTCCACACTATCCATACTATGTAAATAGATATTTTGTTTAATTGCCTGTCTTCCCAACTAGGTCCTCCAGCAGCCATGGTTTGTGCTCACTAAGCTTTGTTAAATTGATAGTCAACTCAGTTACCATTTTCCTCTTGAGAAGCACATCACATTCCGATAGTTAAAGTGGAAACTGCAATGTTTGTTATTCACAGCTCTGAACAACCTGTTGGAACTATCTGAGACTAAGGTCTATCTCATTGTAGAGCTGGAATAACTCTCTTACAGATGAACTAATTCAACTCCCCAACTTTAGTTTTATTAAAATTAAAAATCTTTTAATTACAGTTGACCTACCATACTATATGTTTCAAGTGTACAACCTAGTGATTAGACATTTGTAAAACTTACGAAGTGGTCATCCTGGTAAGTCCAGTACCCATCTGACAACATAAAGTTATTAAAATAATATTGACTTTATTTCCTATGCTTGACTTTACATCCCCATGACTATTTTTATAACCGATTTGTACTTCTTAATCTCTTCGCTTATGTCACACACACCCCTACTCCTTTGCATTTAGCAACTCTGTTTGCATTACTGAATGCAGCTTTGTTTCTGCTTTATTTATTTTGATTTTTTTTTTTTTTTTTTAACATTCCAGTTTTGGTTTTAAGATGGCAGAAGAGAGACCCAGAGCAGGGAAGTAATGTTACTGAGATCATGTGGCAAGTGAATAGACCAGCAAGGTATTTTAACCAACATTTCCTGACTTTCTGATGAGGACCCTTTCCACTGCTCATCCGATGGAAAATAATCTGTTCACTTCTCCCCTACTCCAATCCAATTCACATCTTTAGGAAGAAAGAAGACGTGATGGCCAACTCCTGTACAACAATACCCAGGTTAATTATCCTGGGCATGGCAACCCCCAACCACACTGTTACTAGTTATTTGTTCTTCATTCTGCTGGGCATCCTTGGCCTGGAAGACCAGCACACATAGATCTCTCTCCCTTTTTATTTCCTACCTTGCTGCTCTCCTTGGGAATAGCTTCCTGGTCTTCATCATCATTACTGAAGCAGCTTCCATGAACCCATGTACCTCTTCCTCTGCTTGCTGGCTGTGGCAGACAGACCTCATCCTGTGTAGCACCACTGTGCCCAAAGCCCTGGCCATATTCTGGTTACATGCTGAGGAGATATCCTTTGCTGGCTGTTTCACCCGAATCTTCTTCACTGTTGCCGCCTTTGTTCCTGAGTCAAGGACTTTGTTGGACATGGTGTTAGACCACAAGGTGGCCATCTGTGACTCACTGCACTTACCACATTGCTCAGTCATGCAGTAATCATAAGGGTTGGCCTGGCTGTGGTCCCGAGAAGCTTCCCTGTGATACTCCGTGATGTGTTCCTGCTGAAGAGACTGCCTTTCTGCCATAGTGATGTGCTACTACATACTTACCGTGAGCACACAGCTGTTGCCAAGTTTGCTTATACTGATATTTATATCAATGTCTGGTATAGTTTATCTGTTCTCTCTACTGTAGTGTTGATGCCATACTTATTGTGGTTTCCTACACCCTTTGCCTCAATGCAGCCTTCCGCCTCCCTAGGAGCTTTGCAGAGGGTCCTAGGCACATGTGGATCTCATCTTGGGTCATTTACATGTTCTACTTGACTGGCATTTTTACTATGATTACCCAGCATGGCATCATGTTTCTCTCTGTTCACATTCTGCTGGCCAATGTCTGCATGTTAGCAGCCCCTCTTATGCTGAACCCCATCATTTATGGTGTCAAGACCAGGCATATTCAAAAGCATGTGGTCATTACTTTGTCTTCAGAGAGGAAACACTGCTGAGTTTGTCAGGCTGATCAGGAGGTATGGTTACCAATGTAGGGTCTCACATTTTCTTTGCCTTGTTACCTTGAGAAGGGCAGTGTTTCGAAAAGAGCATGAATTTTTGGATCAGGATTAGATTTGAATTCTGCCTCCACCAAAATTGATGAGTTTGAGCTTGGGGAAATTACATGATCCCTTAGAGACTCTTCTTAGCACATGTATAAGATCCCAGGAAAATAGGGATATCAAAACCAAACTAAATTATATTAAACAGTGAGAATTATTTCCTACAATGAATTTATCTAGGATATTGTAATTAAAACATGTTGGTGAATATATATTAATTTAACCATAGATACATGTGATATTAAAGAAAAACTTCTTTTTGAATTAAAAAGTAGGACCAGTGAAACAGAATAGAGAGCCCAGAAATAAATCCATGCATATAAGGTCAACTGATGTTTGACAAGAGATATAATACACAATGAGAAAAGGATAGTTCCTTAAAAGAACTTAAAAAACTGGATATCAACATGCAAAACAATAAAATTGAACTCTTATTTTATATCACACATAAAAATTAACTCGAAATGGATTAAGGAGTTAAATCCACTTAACTCCTTAAATGGATTAAGGAAAAGGCCTGAAAGTATAATATTAATCAAAATTAGAATTGGTGCTGGTAGAATTTTTCCTTGTTTCTCAAGAGAATTTTTGAGTGACATGCAGGGGTGTACTAGATTACTTGTTAATAATTATTGGTGGGGATAAAAGCTGAGATACTATAAAATCTCTACTACTTAATCCATTTTGGTAGAGACCAAGGAGATTGTAATATGTCACCTGTATAATGTCCCTGTCCAAACATAAGGGTAACCCAATATGCCAAGGTATTCAGATTTTGAGAAATGAGAATATTTAAGTTACTATCATTATGGTACTCTCCTCCCACTAGTATATCAACTGAAAAGAAGGAGCCATCATTTCACATTGGCACACCTCAAGGCAGAGACATAGAGAAGCAGGAAAGCTGATCATGTATAATCTATCCTTCTTTAAAAAAAAATTCTCCACATTCCTGACATATGGAATCCAACCATTCCCCAGTACACCTCCATTCATATAGGACTGAGTTCTCTTCCATAATCTTCTTACAGTTTATCAACCAAGGCACTGGCTAACTTTGCCAACTTAGATAGATTTAGCTCCTGTAATATTGTCATCTTTCCTGAGAATTCCGTTCTTCTTATCCTCCCTCCTATGGACCTCCTTTCTGTCCAGTGTTAAGACAGAAAAAACTTTTCTTTTTTAAAAAATCAATAAAATGACTCTTCAAGATCACCAACATCTTTTACAGTACCTGAGTTTTTTCATGAAATGTTTAGCAGCTGCTCTGAGGGCACATCTGAGATTTTATTTTAGACAAGGAACCAGGGTTCCTGGGAGAATAATGGCTCTCTCATAGCCTATTATTGCTCCAGAGCTTTATTATGCCAACCTCAAAAGTTTAAGCTCAAGAAAGTGCTGTCACTAGGTGATGCTATAACCTCACTCCTGCCCTTCACACCAATCAGTTTAACTGGAGAAGCAGAACTAGTAAGAAATAAATATTGACGTTTATTGCAAGGACGTTTATTACTTACACAATTATGGAGACTGGCAAGACAAATTTTAAATCTGCAGGCACGCCTGATTGAATGAGGCCCACTCAACTTATCTAGGACAATTTCCCTGACTTAAAGTCAAATCATTATGGACTTCAGTGACACCTACCAAACTCCTTCACAACAATATCTAGATTAGTGTTTGAAAAATGGGGGGCTTAGAGCCTAGGCAAGTTGACACACACAAAAAAACCCCTCACAACTCCCATGTATATTGACATGCCCTTTAACCAACTCCGGTATCAACAAGATGTGGTTGGGAGGTAATGGTGGGAATGGTGATTTGGCAATCTCAGCTATGCATAATTCAGTTGTGTAAACAAATAAATGTGACTGTTTTCTATAGGAAGTGTGGCGTCACCTATGATCAGATATGTGCGTGTTGGAAAGAGTATTCCAGATGTGTATGAGAGCAAGGATTGAATGGGATAGGTGGAGATGAAATTTACTTAGGAAACACTTTTGCAAACCCTGTAAGATAAAACAGTGATCTGAGCAAAGGCCTAGACATGGCGGGGAGAAAACAAAACTTGAGTCACATAAAGAAGGCAGAAACATGTTTTGGTTGATCCAGATGAATTTGGACCAAATATAAGTAGTTTGTTTCATGGGGAAATCATAAGCAGGAATGATAGATATTGAAGATCATTTGACACAGATATTCAGTGACCTCTTGTCAAAGTATCTAATACCTCTGCAGGGACAAAGGTGGTTCAGAGTTCATGGATAAATAAGGCAGGGTCAGTGGCTGAGGAGGGGATATCAACAAAGGGGGTGTCAGTGACCAGAGAGAGCCATCAACAGTCAGTGGATCCCTATCACCCGATGCTCAGAGGACAGAGGGTCAGAGGGGCTGCATTTCTTCCACTATCATTGAAACCGGTATTGAAGAAAGGCCGCAGGGGTCCATTGAAGGTACAGTCTGAGAAGGTGTAGATGAGGGAGCCATGGTCAGTGATGTTATAGAAAGAGAGAGTGCTGGCCTCATAGTCCAGGAAGATCCCAATTTGGCGTGGAGGCACTGAAAGGTGGAGGGGAGTCTGCGGGCAGGTGCCAGCCTCATATTTTCGTTTGTTCCACAGCCAGATTGTCCAGAAGCCATTCATGGTGCTGAGCAAAAAATGTCCCTTCCTCTGCACAGAGTCTCTACAAACCCCCAGGTCCCAGGCATCCTTTCCCGTCACATCTACCTCCCAGTAAAGTTTCCCGGAGTCAAAGCGCTGGGTACCCAGGACCATGGGATAAGTGTCAAATCTCTCCTCATTTTCTGGCAGCTTTTTCTGGGTGTCTCCAAGCCTCACTTGTCTCTGATCCTCTGAGATGATGAGCCACGGATGGGCTGTGTGTGGATCCAGAGTGATGTGTACTGCAGAGAGAGCACCATGGTCAGAACGGGAGAGTGTGGGGAGTCGCTAACCCTGTGCCTGAGGTAGGGGGATGAGAGGGTGAGCCTGAGCCTTACTGTGTGATGAGATGACACCCCAGCCAGCTCTAGCCCTTGGTTGGGACCTTTGAGGAGGCCACTTTTCTGAGCTCTGTTCCTGCCCCACCTACTTTGACCTGCCACACTTCCTTGACCCTGGACCTACTCTGCACCCTTGTCATCCCATTGCTGCTCAGAAGGCCAATCTGACGCTCCTGTAGCTTGCCTCACCTCCACATGTCCTCAGCATCTTCTTCAGCCCTGGCACATGGCACACACTCCTCAGGTCTGGGGAGACAACATTCAGCTGTTCCAGGTTCCAGGACTCACACCTGGGAGAAACAGAGTTAGAAATCCCGTCTCTGTCTCTAACTCCTATCCTACCCTCTCTGAACTCTAATGCTATAACCTCTCTTGTGGATGACAGATAATTTGATTCAAAACAGATTTTAAAATGCCTGTTGTGTTAGAATCCCTGGCGATGGGATTTATTTCCTATCTAGCCTTTGGGCCACAAGGGCCTCTGAAGCGTGAGTCTGTACCTCCTCCCCATGCCTGAGGTCACCACACAGGCACATTCTGTTTCATTTTATAGGCAGGGTGCAGATATGATATTTGCAGAATCACTCCCTAAGGAACCTCAAGGAGTCTCGCCCACACTGTGGGTCTTACCATTTCAGACCACAGCTCTTTCTGGGAGGTTTGTAATTGGTTGGATGCTTTTTAAAGGAGTCCCGCAGGCTGCAGACTTAAAACTTCCCAGAATTTCCTTGTTTGTCAGAGCTTCACTTTGTGAACATGTTACAGTCCAATTACTTTGGGCAGCTCACCAACTAAGGTGTCCATTAATTAGCTTTCTGAGACTAGAAAGTATTTTATGAAGGACAGGATCTTTGAGCATAGGAAGGAGGATGGGGAAAACTTCAGTGCATGTTTTTCTAACTCAATAATCTTTTACACAGCTGAGGACACTTCCTGCTACCTCTTTCTCTAGCAAAGAAAACCTCTCCTTACCTTTCCAGGATACTTTTCACCTCCTGAGGAAAAAGGAGACACAGAGTAAGTTCCGGAATCACTGTGTTAATGACTGAGTCTTCAGTGCTATGGGTAATGAGACAACACCCTGAGGTCACAGGCACTTCTCTGCTCAGTTCCTCTGGGCCAGAGCCTGAAAGACATTTCTGACCAACTTGAAACAGAGGGATGTGTGAATGCTTGTGGGTCACCAGAACTTCACATGTAACCTACAGCCAAGAGAAGGGTGATCTGTTTAAGGACTCAGAAAACAAATTAGACAGACCAGATTCTTGGGGAGATGAACAGGTCCGGTAGAGTGGAAAGGAGCAAATAGCCCAGGCTGGCCAAGGCCCAGAGAAAGAACAGCCAAATCAGGATGCACAGAAATTGCACTCTCTCATTTATGGGCTTGAGTTGTTTGGAAGAAAAGGCTGGTCAGTTAAAGCTCTGCCCTGTGTTGTAGTTAACATTGTTCCTTCATGTATGTGAAATCAAATCACCTGAGAATATTTTGTTACCCAGGCTGGGTGTCCTTCTCTGGAACTGGCAGGCTCCTAAGTCTCATCAAAAGTGCACTAGAAGCTTGGCTCAGTGTTGAGTCAAAGCAAGATTCAGGTAACGGGAAGAAGAGAGCCTTCCAATCAACCACTCCAGTCAGCATTTTTGCCCAAACAGAAAGAAATGGCTTCGTGACCACATCTGAATGAGACAGAGAAAAGGAACGCAGACTCTTACAACAGAAGGGACTTTTGAGAACATCGAGTTCCTAGTTTCCCAAAGTGAGTAAAACAAATCATTGGTGGGCATGAGGTCATTTTAAGTAGAATATACACTGATGAATTAAAAAAATAGTTATGTACTTATTTTAATTTTAGCTCTATCTCTTACTATTTGAGTGAACTTGGTCAAGCTATTTAGCTTTTGTATCTCATTTGGTCTCTTAACATTTCTGTGCCTTAGTTTCTCATCTATAAAATTGGGGTAATAGGAGTACCACCTTATCACATTGTCATAAGGGATTCAATGTCTGGCATGTAATATGTGAAATTTAAGAGGATGCAGTTATTATTTTTGTTATGAAATAGAAAGTATCACTAACAATATCAATATCCACATATGTGATTTCTTGGCTACCATTGGTTAGGGCAAATTTCCTTTTAAATTAAGTTTATCTGCTAAAAGAATGAGACAATTTAAAGGAAAAATAACATCTTAAAAACAGGTAGTTCATTGAAGCAGCAGAAAGTGTAAAGGTGATACATTTATAACTAAAGTTTGGGAAATATTTGTTATTTAGACCAGTCCCTCTCCCTTTGTTTCACAAATGGAGAAATTAGGTCTAGGAAAGGAAAAAACTTAACTTTGAGTTATGGAGAAAACTGGTAACAAGGCTGAGGCTGGGCTACTCTCTCTTAATTTTCAGTTCAGTATTTTTAGGTTTTTTGGGAAAACCTTCCCATGGCCAGACACTCATCAAAGAGTCTTAGTGGATTCTGTCATTTAATCCTCACAAAATTCTTTGAGATATGTAATAGTATATCAATTTAACTATGAGAAACCTGCACAGGGAACCAATAGTGATGGAAAAAAAAACTGGGACTCAAATCAATGGAGTGGGCCAGAAGGAGGAAAGAAACAACCAAACAGAAAAGAATAAAGAAACAACAACTCAAAAAATGAGGGGAGGCTTAGGAACCTCCAGAACATCTTTAAACATTCCAACATCTGAATTATAGGGGTACCAGAAGGGGAAGAGGAAGAGCAACAAGTGGAAAACTTCTTTGAACAAATAATGAAGGAGAACTTCCCCAATCTGACAAAGGAAATAAATTTCCAGGAAGTCCAGGAAGCTCAGAGAGTCCCAAAGAAGTTGGACCCAAGGAGGAACACACCAAGGCACATCATAATGACCTTAGCCAAGATTAAAATGAAGGAGAGAATCCTAGAAGTAGCAAGAGATAAGGGGATAGTCACCTACAAAGGAGTTCCCATCAGACTGTCAAATGATTTCTCAAAAGAGACCTTGCAAGCAAGAAGAGGCTGGAAAGAGGTATTCCAAGTCATGAAAGGCAAGGACCTACATCCAAGATTGCTCTATCCAGCAAAGCTTTCACTTAGAATGGAAGGGCAGATAAAGTGCTTCTCAGATAAGGTCAAGTTAAAGGAGTTCATCTTCACCAAGCCCTTATTTTATAAAATGTTAAAGGGACTTATCTAAGAAAAAGAAGATAAAAATATGAACAGTGTGAACAGTAAAAAGACAGCAAACTCACAGTTATTAAGAACCATACCTAAAACAAAAGCAAACCAAGCAAACAACTAGAACAGGAAATAGAACCACAGAAATGGAGATCACATAGAGGGTTATCCAACAGGGGAGTGGGAGGAGGAGATAGGGGGAAAAGATACAGAGAATAAGTAGCATAGATGGTAGGGAGAAAATAGACAGTGGGAAGGCAAAAATACTATGGGAAATGTAGAAGCTAAAAAACTTATGACCAAGAGAGATGAACTAAAGGGGGGGCAATGTGGGTGGGAGGGGGTGTGCAGGGGGGAGGGGAATGAAGGGGGGAATGGGACAACTGTAATAGCATAATCAATAAAATATATTAAATAAATAAATAAATAAATAATACCTAAAAAAAAGAAACATGATACTCAGAAAAATTAAGGACCTTGCTCAAGGTCATGAACCTTGTACATGTTAGAGCAGGCACTTACCAGAGATGTCCATTTTAAAAAAATTGCTGCATGAAATACTCCCTCCTAAATCTATATCTTTCCATGTCTTGATTGCAAACCACTCATGGGTCTGAATTCCAGTTTGTTTTATTTAAGAAAATTCCAGGGACTGGGTTTTTGTTTGCTGTGATGGTAGCCCCAGAGAGCTCTGGCTTCTGCTTGGTTCCTCCTTGAATGCAGATTGGGACCCTCTCCCGTCTCACCTGCAGCAGCTCTAGCTCTGAGCTCCGACTTCTCCTCTCCAGCTCTGAGATTAGCTCCTGTAGGACCTGGCTCTGCTGGGCCAGTTTGGCCTCTGTCTCCCCCAGGATTCTCAGCTCTTCCTTCTCTTCCTTTTCCAGCTTCTGCATTTGCCTCTGTTCCTCTTCAGCCAGGAAGTTTTTCTGCTGTTCAAACTCTGCATGAATTCGCAATCTGTGTGTCTCAACCTTCCCCTTTGGTGTCAATGAAAAGAGAGAGGTGGTTTTATCAAAATGTCCTAAGCTTTGGGAATGGATGTGTCCAAACCCACTTCTACTCCCTGGAGACTCACCACTCTGGCTCTGTCTGGGAACAAACACACACATACATTTTGCTGGGGAAGTCAGTGTGTCAGGCTTCTGGGATTAAGTGGGGAATGGGATTGGCGGAGGCCACACTGTAGCTGCTCTAGCCCATGGATTTGGGGACTTTCCTCAACTTCTCTCAAAATCCAGTCAGCACCCAAATGTGTCCTTTTGTCTTCATATCTGTGTTACTGAGAGAGTAACACCTGTCCTCACTCAAACAACCTCACAAAGACAGGCCCACAACACCAATTCTTAAGTCCTGGGAAAAGAAAGTCTTGGTGATATGCTTTGTTTGCTCTCTTGTGATAGTGATTAGGCCACCTGATGACACAGGATGACCCCTTTGGCCATCACAGTTTTGGTCACCTCCCTTGGTCCCAAAACTTCCTGTTCTGGTATCAATTGGCCATTAGTTGCTTTCACTCCTCTTTATCCCTGACCTACCCATGTCCAAATCACTAGTGCAGAATAAGCTTTAGTTTTCCATTCTACTTTGGATCAGTGATCTGGACACAGTCAAGCAACCATCTGGTCAGACTGGTTTTCCTACCTCAGGCCTTGGTGATTTCCTTAATTAAGCCTGTTCCTTATAGCCCCTGTCATTTCCCGACAGGCCTAGACGTATCTCTCCTGGGATAGCTGTTTCAGATACCAAAGCACTGCTATGATCATCCCTAAGATTGGGCTTTTTCCTTAGCACCTTGTCCTAAGACTCTTGATCTTTGTTTCTGATTGGGAGCTCTCTTTGAGCTCCATACTTTTTATTTCCCTTTACCAGCAGACACTGAGAACTGTTGGTTCTTGAAGAGTGAGATATGCTGACTCTATCACTCCTCAGACAGGTGTAGCTATAGTTAGGGCTTTCCTGAGGCTAGGACTCTGGACCCTGTCTAGTGTTTTGATCTAAGATTCCTTTTGGGATGTGACTCTTGCCTTCCAGGCTGTTCTCTTCATTGCAACATCCACTTCCAACTTCTCAGCAAACTCTTGCTCTTTTCTCAGTTTCCTTAATGCCTCCTGAACCTTCTCCTGTAGAGAAAGATAACAGGTTAATGCCCAATCAGACCAAGAAGGAGGATTGTGTGATGTGAGGTGGGGGAAGATCCTACAGGTTCTTAGAAAAGCCTGAAGCCGGGGAAGGAAGGAGGACTAGAGTCTGTTTGGCATGCAAATTCTGTGGATGGCAGTACTTCGGGGGGAAAAAGCTCACGTTTCTTAGAAAGAAGCCGCATTGTTGGGGTGGCAGGGAAGGGGCACTGCTCATTCCTAATTAACCAGGAAGCCACAGGGAACATGATCCTTGCAGTGATTTCCCACAGCATCACCCGTTTCTGGGCAATGAGAAAGTTGTGATCATCCTTAAATTAGACATAGAAGGTGGGGAACACTCTTCCTTTCTCCAGTCCCTCAACTCTATGGGCAACTCTCTCCTAACCCCAGCTCTGGGGAACAAAGCACTCATAGGACCCCATCTCCTTTCTACCTGTTCATGCCTCCATGCCAAGGACTCACCTGGTACTCCTGAGCAGCCTCCTCAATTGGGACCATGGGGTGGTCACGGTGTTTCCGGGACTGGGAACAAACCCAACAAAGAGCCTTCCCATCTCTCTCACAAAATAGGTGAAGTTTCTCTCCATGCACTTCACATTGCTCCCCCTTTGTACCCTCCTTGGCATCTTGGTTGATTTTTTTTAGGTTGTCCACCATATTGGCTAGCTGGAGATTGGGCCTGAAGTTCCTGAGCAGGAATTTTTTCCGGCACACAGGACAGGAACCGCCTCCATTTTTCCCAACTTGAGAGATACATTCGTGGCAGAAGCTGTGGCCACAGTCAATGCTCACTGGCTCCACTGTGGGATCCAGGCAGATAGGGCATGTGACCTCCTCCCACATCATTGTCAAGGGCATTGCAGAAGCCATCGGGGACATGTGCCTATTAATAAACAATGTGGAGAGCTTTAGGTAACCTAGTGGAGAGAAGAGAAGAGTCAGGGAGAAGATGAGAAAGTTTGTGTGAGAAAAACAAAACAATTCAAAGAAAGAAAAAAGGGAGAGTGAACTGGAGGGGGTTAAAACAAGCCAGGAACATTATCCTGAATAACAAGACCTTCTCTTCCACAGTCAGGTTGATTGATCCAGTCAAATAGAAGGGGAAACTGAGTCCCCAAAATGGACAGTGAAAACTGTTGGGAACTTCAGAGATAGGGCCGTTATTTTCATCATATCCATCTCTGCTTAAACCCTCAGTGCCCAGGCTTTTTCTGTCCGCAATAATAGTGACCATTTACCACGAGCCTTCCATGTGCCAGAAAAGTGGCAACATGCTGGCACACTTCTTCATTAGTCTTCAAAAATGGAAGTTGATATATATGTATATACACATATATCTGAATATATACATAAGAATATTCTTCAACAACAGGGATGGATCTTGAGAGTTTTAGGCCAACTGAAATAAGTCAGACAGGAGAGGACAAAAACACATGATTTCACTCATATGTGGGACTTATATCTACATATAACTAAATTACATATAACTTTTATAACTAAAAGTATCGAATGATCAAACAAAACAAAGAAAAAAATCATATACAGACAATGGTGCGGTGATTCCCAGGGGGGAAGGGGGATAGGGGAGGTGAAGTGGGTAAAGGGGGCCCAATACAGGGTAATGGAAGAAAGCTAGACTTTAGGTGGTAAGCATGCAGATGTGGAATTGAAATGTTGCACACTTGAAATTTATATAATATTATTAACCAAGGTTACCCCAATAAATTTAATTAATAAATAAATCTGTACCAAAGAAGTAATTATAAAGAAAAGAACATTTATTGTTATATATTCTTATAAGATATACAATCTGTGTGTGTATATGTATGTGCATATATATGTACGTGTACATGTTTAACACACACATATACGTATGTGTAGTCAGCACTCCCTGGGCTCTTCTCTCAGCTACTCGACCCAGACAGGTATCTTCATTTCGTCCAGGGCATAGATCTCATGGACTTCTAACATCCTAAACAACCCTGTTCCTCTCTCCTCCCGAGGGGTACTTCTGGGGATGGCAGTCTCAAAGATCGCATACCTCCCCCACACCGGGCTCCTCCCGACCACCCTGCGGTTAGGTTTCAGTCCCGTTTTTTTTTTCAGCTTCCGTAGGCCTTAGTACCAGCTCTGGTGGAAGCAGCAGGACAGCCCAGGCAGACCCAGCAGCGCGGGAAGAACTGCTGGGCTTGGGCTGAGCGAGTCCTGCTGTGGAGAAGGGGAAACTGATCCCCAAGGCTCTATGGGTGGGGACTGATTGGAAGGGGAATCTTCAGATCTGGGCGGGGGGTACCTCAGTTCAGCCTGGTTCACTCACCTTTTCAAAGGACTCAAGGGATGGCAGCTGGCTTTCTATTTCACTTTCTATTTCCTACAAGGGGTGCGTCGGAGAGGGAGGCGGGCCCAAAGGAGAGAGTGGGAGGAGTAAGGGCAGGAAGGGAAACTGAAGGGCGGGGCGGGGCGGGGCGGGGCAAGAGAGACCAGCGGAGGTACTACGAGAGAAGGCGGAGTTGAGGCGCCGCCTGGGTCAGAAGCTGCTGGAGCCCGGGCTAGTGCTTCTGGGTGGCTGGGTCAGAGGGCAATGTTTGCACAATTGCTTCATGCTTTGTGCCCCTTCCATGTCCCTATGATCTAATATAGTAAAATATGGTATCTGTTAGATGGAGGGGCCGTCTTCTTACACCGACGTGCTGTGTCCTCAGGGGAGGTTTAGATGGAGAAAAGAGTGCCTGGAGCGCTTTCTCACTTGCCACTATCTGCTTCTTACTTTCAGACACAGTTCCTTTTCAGGAGACTTGATATTCTTTTAACATCAGGGTGTAAGAAACTTATTTTGCATGACCCTAAGGTGTGCATCACACCAGTGAGTGGTAAGAAGGGAACTGAAAATTACTGAGCACCAACTGTCTTGTCACTGACCTAGGGATCTTCTTAGGTTATTATTTATTATTTTTTAAAAATTGTGCTAAAATACCCATAATATAAGATTTACCATCTTAACCGTTTTTAGGTGTATAGTTCAGTAGCACTAAATACATTCACACTGTTGTGTGACCAGCACCATCACCTACCCACAGAACTTTTTCATTTTGCCAAACTGTCACTAGGTCCCCATTAAACAATGACTGCCCATCCCCCTCCCCTCAGTCCCCACAACCACCATTCTATTTTCTGGTTCTGAATTTGACTGTTGTAGGTGTCTCAGTAAGTGGAATCATACAGTACTGGTCCTTTTGTATGACTTATTTCACTTCACAATAATAACCTCAAGTTTCGTCCATGTTGTAGCATGTGACAGGATTTCCTTTTTTTAAAGGCTAATTTCAATTGTATGTCTGTACACTTTGTTTATTCATTCATCTGTCAGTGGGCATTTGGGTGGCTTCCACCTTTTGGCTATTATGAATAGTGCTGCTATATCCAGTTACAGTATTATAGTCACATAACAATTTAGTGATTATTAAATTTATATTACAGGAGAGGCACTGGGGCTGAACGGAGAGAAGTGACTTGCTTGAGTAAGCAGTGTAAGCATAGGTGCACTAGGTGAAAGGTCGAGGGAGGAACCTCTTTTAGTGACATCCCAGAAATATAAGTTTGCCCTGTCTGTCCAAGCGGAGGTTGTGGGAACGGCTGGTGGGGTTGTGGTCATAAGATGCAGAGAAGGATGAAGAGAAGAGGCACCATGGGAGGCTAGAAGAATTCTCAATTTCTTCCACCTCAGATGTGCTTTTTCCTTTTTCAGTCCCTGTATAATTTAAGTAAAAACATAAGTTAAGCTTTGCTTAATATTTTCTATAGATTTAGCAAACCTAAAAGCATTTCATGCTTCTTTGAAATTTCCTATCTGTTTTTAAGAGCATTTGCATCAGGCAACACCTAATGTCCATATTGTGCCACTGTACTCAGATTCGATTTTGGAAACATAGTACCAGAAAACAAAGTGAAAAAAGAGTGAAAAAAAAATCAAACGAAGAAGAGACCTGTACATGAATTTGCGGACACTCAGAAAAGGGCTATTCTTCACATCGCTGCAGACCCTTTGTTGTTTCCTGCAGGCACAGAGCCAGCCACTGTCAAAAGGGGTAGAAAAGCCGAGATCTCATGATAGGGCAGACATGGATTCAGTGTTAATCCTGCTATTTACTAGCTATGTGCCATCTCTATGGGCTTCAGTGGACTAATCTATTAAATTAGGATGTCAATACATACACCACAGGATTGCTTTGGTACATGTTCAATAATATACATATAGAGAAGTTAACATAACACATTCATAGCTGCAACGGTCCCCACCTTGGTAATTGGCTCTAAGACCAATGTTGCCACTCATTCCAAATTCCACTCTTTCACTCCCAGTACGTTGGCAATCCAGTGTTCTTTTCCTGGTGATGTGACCCAAATCTTCATTCTTGAAGGATCAGTGTCCTTAATGTTCTTGTCTTTAACACATTGGCCATTGTTATCAGGCAATGATAATGAGGAATTTCTCTAGTGCAAGCAGATAGTAGCAAGTGAGAAAGCACTCCAGGCACTCTTTTCTCCATCTAAACCGCCTTAACAGCAAGGCCTGTGGGCTGCATGCAGCCCAGGCTGGCTATGAATGTGGCCCAACACAAAATTGTAAATTTGCTTAAAACACTATGAGATTTTTTTTGTGATTATGTGTCAAAATGTTATTTAAAATAAACATACATAAACTCTTGCTATTTGTATGCATGTGTAGCTTCAGCTTTATAGTGGTGTGTGGCTTCCAGTGTGTTATCTTCCAAGCACAGACAGTAGAATTGACACCATCAGACATTACATGTGTCTGTGGTGACTTAGTGAGACAGCGTTTATCAGTAATATTTCAACCTACCATTGCAACCTTAAGTGTTTAATGTTATTTAGAACTCAGGTAGGCATTCTTATTTAATTATTAGAGATACTTCCACACCTCATTAATGCCTCACACATCACCTGCCACACTTTACCATCAGCCCTCTGCCTTGACTTGTATCAGCAGCCAAGAGTGTTGTGGAAGGGCCCAAACCTTGCTTTCTATTTTCTTGTCAATTAATTTTCAAAATAAAGGGAAATGATATAATCAACAAAAGAAAAAAGCAAACAAAATATAATCAAAGACATTGAAATTAAGAACAGTCTGACAATAACCAGAGAGGAGGGGGGAGGGGATAACGGGGGGGGGGAAGGGTTTTCAGCAACTACTATAAAGGGCACATGGACAAAACCAAGGGGCAGGGTGGAAGCAAGGGAGGGAGGTGGGTTTGGCTGGGGTTGGGGAGGGGAGTGGTGGGTGGGAAATGCAGACAACTGTAACTGAACAACAGTAAAATAATTTTTTAAAAATAAATAAAGTCCCTTATTTATTATTGTGTTTTTAATTCCAGCATGGCTTCTATAGCATTTCAAAAGAAAAAAGAACCCTGAAAAGAAAAATAATGGATGAAGGAAAATTGTTCAGTGAAAAGTGGACAGATAACTACTTTTTTTGTCAAGGCAAATATTAAGGCACTTGGCTTAATTTGTAGGAAATTTGTGCAAGTTTTCAAAGACTATAATTTGAAAAGGCATTATATGCAAAAACATGCTGCCAAATTCAATGTGTATGAAGGATTGTGTCATAAGGACAAAATATCAGAAATGAAAAAAGTCTGTCTTCTGAACAAAATTTTTTTCAAAAAGTTACAACTCAGGTGGATTCCACTGTAAAAGCTAGTTATGTAGTAGCATATGTAATAGCAAAAAAAAAAATCAAAACTATTTACTGATGTGAGTTTATTAAACAATGTATACAAAGCATGGCAGATATAATTTGCCCTGAAAAAAAAGAGGGATATTTCTAAAATCAGTTTGTCTTACCAGGTGAGTTGAAGAAACTGGAAAATTTATGGAAAGAAGTTTGGAGAATAAAGCTGCTAATTTTAAATTTTAAGCTTTGGCAATGGATGATAGCACTGATGCTACAGATATAGCTCAACTTGCCATTTTTATTAGAGGTGTTGATGACTAATATAATGTCACTAAAGAAATGGCTTCTTTAGTGACATTAAAAGACACAATTAAACCAAGAGATTTATATGAAGCAGTAAAAAATACGTTAAAGAGATGTTCTTTGGCCATTGTCAACACATCTCTTAGAGTTACTGATGATACCCTGGAGATGGCAGGAAAAAGAGAGGGACTTGTAAAATTAATAGAAGATGATGCAATTGCCACATAAAACTCACATTTGATAAAATATCATTGCACAGTACATCAAGAAAATTTATCCACAAGAACTTAAAAAATGGGTAACATTATGCAAATCATCATTAAGACTGTGAATTTCATAAATGCTAAAGGATTGAATCATTACCAGTTCCAGGAATTCCTTAAAAGCATTGTTGCTGATTGTGGTGACATAATCTACTTTTAGAAGTAAGATGGCTAAGTTGAGACCAAATGTTGAAAAGATTTTTTGATTTGTGACATGTTATCAAGTCATTTATGCTATCCAAAAACATATTAGTGCCAGAACTTGATGATGAAAACTGGCTTACAGATTTAGCCTTTTTAGTGGATTTAACCACTCATTTAAACATGCATTTTCAAGGTGAAAACCAACTTATCAATAATCAATACCATGTTTCAAACCACAACAGTGCCCCAAGTGAAATTGAAATTAGGGCAAGCTCAAATTAAGGCAAACAATTTTATGCATTTTGACACCTTGGCTAAACACAGTCCAGTGAACAGCAAAAAATATGCAGCCTTGCTTTTCAATTTGATAAATTAATTTGAAAACAAATTTCAAGATTTCTGGGAAAATAATCAAAATTTTGTTCTATCTGTGACTCCATTTTTAGTTGACATAAATATGTTACCTGCCAATTTTCAAATGGAATGCATAGAGTGGCAATCTGACATTCAACTTAAAGGAAAATTTGATCATGTCCCCTTACTGGACTTTTATAGGTCCTATCTTCCCAGAGACAAATATCCCTTGCCTCACAATCATGCCTTATTCATGTCATCACTATTTGGCAGCACCTACATTTGCGAGCAACTAATTTCAAGAATGAAACACAGTAAGAATAAAATTAGAACCAAAATATCTGATGAGCACCTTGAGAACTCACTGAGCATTGCAACTACTTCTATCAAACCAGATATCGATGCACTACTTTCTCAGATACAATGTCAAACATCCAACTACTTTTATGTTGCCCTCTTTCCTTTTACTTTTATGATAAAAATATTTTTTAAAAAAATCAATGATATTTTATTACTTAGGTATGTACATTTTTAAAAAAAAATTATTTATTTATCTTTAGAAGGGAAGGAGAGAAATATCAATGTATGGTTGCTTCTGGTGCATCCCCTGCTGGGAACTGCCCTGA